TAATAATATATATTTTATAAAATTATTAATATTTTATATATATAAAAAAAAAAGAATGAAAAAAATTTTGGTGGGGACAAGTGCCCACACTATGATTAACTTAGATCTGTCCCTGCATATGATTGTGTGATGAAATGTTAGTCCTGTGTATCCTCTTCCTTTACTTCAGGTTCTACCTCTTCAAGAACAGATTGTTGTTGTTGGGGTACATCGTTAATGACTTCAAGGAAAAATACCATGTCATTTCATCCTTTATTGTATAGTGTCAATTTGGTAGTAAGTGGTTCACTCCAGTTTGAAATGAAATAAAATCTGCTACCATTGTCTTTAATGATACATTGCATTGTCCTTAATAATACACAGTATAGCCTAACTGTTTAGCAATTGAAGTTATCAATTTCCATTGACAATATTAACAAATTCGGTGTTTGAAATGCTTTGCACCTTGGGTCTTTTTCCTTCCATGATTCACAACCGTGAACTATAATCATTGATTGTTTATGTTTAGCATTCTGGAACCAGAACGGCCCGTTCTGAAACCAGAACGAGCCGTTTTGATTGCACTTTTAGTGTGTTAATTTTGCACCTGGAACGGACCATTCCGGATGCAAAATTAACACACCAAAAGAGCAACCAGAACGGGTCGTTCTGGTTTTAGAACGGGCCGTTCTGGTTTCAGAACGGGCCGTTCTGGTTCTAGGTGTTTTAAAAAAAATTGGCATCCACATGGCCAACAGTTAACTCCGTTTAAATAATTTGGACGGAAGTCCCAGATTGAAACCAATTAATTTATTAGGGACCAAATTGAAACTAATTAATTTATTTGGGATCAAATTGAAACCAAAAATAAAAGTGGGACTAAATTGAAACAAACAATTATTATAAGGGACCAAAATAGGTTTTTAGCCTTTCTTTTAATTAGTCACCGCTATCGGCGGTGGATACTCCAGGGACGAATTAAAAAACAAATGAGGGAATTTTTATTTTTATTTTTAAATAAATGTGTAACCCCTTCTATTCTTTTCATTTTCTTGCATTCTAACAAATGAGAGAAGATCATGCGGCAAGTAAGGAAAGTATGACTTAATTTGAAAGTCATGTGATTAACTAGTTGAATTTGAATTTTTTTACACCATGTGCACTACTTTGGTTAGCAACATGTGTATCCAAATTCAATTTAATTGCAATCCTTTGCACAAAATTAAATTACGCTTCCTAGGTCCAAAAATTACACATTAAAAAAATTACTACAAAGTTCCTATTCTACTTGACCCAGAATAAAGAAAACTATATACAAATGTGCAAGAGGTATTAAACTTAAATATTTAGTAACCTATAGTTCAATATGAGCTTAAATCTACTAACTTCATCGTGGCTTCAATCCTCTTGGATCCTCTTAGCCATAGCCCTAGTGGTAGGATCCTTGATAGTGCATTTGGGACATACATTTTAATGCATTAACTTGAGATGATTTGACATTTAAAAGCATGAATAATTGCTATATTAGATGTGATTTGTAATAATGAGTTTAGTTAGTGATGATTGTAAATTCTTTTTAATTTTTGCAATTTGACCCACTTTTACACTTTATTCTTGTGCAGGCCATAATTATAGCTCCCAACAACATCTGATTTGGATGTTCTTGGTGTCTCTAGAAAGATAAGAGAGAGTTCTACAATTTCTCAATTGGGAGAAAAGGTCAGTTCAAACGTTAAATGACCAAAAAATGTATTGCAAAGTTGTGAGCCTACATAGTATCTTTTTTATTTTTATTTTTAGAATGTAATGTTAGGATTTTTTTTAACGTAATTAGTTAATTTAGTGGGTTGTGCCTTTAATTACTATGATTAGGCTCATTAGAGTAGTCTATAAATAAGTGTAACATATGTATGCTTGATATCATATACCTCATTTTTCAAAAATTGAATTTCTTCTCTTAGAAGTCTTTCAAAATTCTCTTTTTCTCGGATTTTCTCTCTTACTTACACGAATTGGATTGCTGCAATTATTTTCTTAATTTCTCCTTCATTTGGATATATAAACAAAAGGGGTTATTCAGTTTGTACTTTTATAATAAATAATGTACATTATTTTCTTAATTTCTCCCATGTTCTCTCTTCACTTGAGCTTCATCAAGTTTCTCAGCATAAACTTCAATTATCACGATGAAGAATTATTTGTTTTATCCGATATTCAGTGTTTAGTTAAATTTAATTCTCCTTATCATTGAATTGCAATATTGTAATGCTCCTCCACAAGGTTCTCTAACTACTTGACGCTATTCTTGAATATCAGTTTTATCAGCA